TATTATCAGCGCCGGCAGCATGAAATGCGAACATAGTGAAAACGGACAATATCAATAATACCGGCTGTCACGAATCACTCATTTCTCTCTGAAATATTCGCAGCGTTATATCGATTATTCTGAGCCAATATTTATGGACAAATTCCACGGTAACGGGGAAGCATTATATTGTCCTCGAGAAAGCGAGGGTGCCTGTTGGTTTCGACTATCGTTCCGACCTGCCGTTGCTCACCTGGTCAAGCTACGAATGTTTGCTGAAATAATAACAGAACCGTTCCTGAAATTCGATAATTCCCGTTCGTAGAAGCTTCCTTGTGCAAACACGGGGTAGTGTATTATCCCTTATGCCATGCACGTCACGGAGTCCTCGCGCCACCAACGAAGCGACATATGGCAGTCCAAGACTACAGCTTATAAAAAATGAACGCAGAATAAACAAGAGGGATAGAGAGGGGAAGATTCAATAGCTACAACGTCGATGTAATCGCGCTAATGCACGCGCGGTTCTGCATTATACAACGGCCGTGGGATTTCCGCGTACCCTTTTCGCGTCGTGGAAGGAAATGCATCTAACATCCTGACACCTCTCGGACCGTAGTGTCTGGCGTAAATCAAATATCTCTTACGCTTTGACCAACGCCGTGATTCAACCTCTATCACTTCTCCTCTCCCCTTTACTGTTTCTTGTCCCGACTGATCTGATTATAGTCACATTGGCCACGTGCGTCGACATTGATGGAAAGGAATATCTGGTTTGCAACGCGCCGGTGACGTCCGTATAATATTGCCCTCGTTGAATATTCTATCGAACCGGAAGTGGAACCCTTGAGACGAAAGATAAGGCACGCATCGACATAGGTACGCATAGTAATATCTTACGTGTAACAAAGCGCAGATACGTCGGCCGGCTTCCAAGAGCTTTCCAATAAATCGTTTGATACTAGTTAGAGGAAAGGCATGGTACGGATACGAAAAATCACGACGTATCGATTCAGTTTGAATGGCTCGCATTTGCAAGTTGAATTCCTTTCACAGCTCCTCGCTATTCGTACAAACTTTCGTCTGGCGCTTCAAAACGAAAAGGCAAATTGTGAAGCAGATGCGTACGATGCAATGATTTGCGTGTCGAGCATATCAAAAGTATGAGATATTCAGATAAAGATAAAGCACGAATCGCGCAATAAAGAGACGGTAATTTTCTTGTTACTGCGCGTTGGCTAAAATATGACGTTACATCATACACATTTTTTCGATAATTGCAATAGAGATTCATATCATGACAAACAGATATTATAGAGACTGTCTTTTGTTCTTATTATTGTTTATCTCTTTAACGCATATATTATTTATCATTGGAAATTAATGTACAAATTTGTATAAAAATATCAATTTAATATTTTTTATCATAATATAATTACTGTTATATAATATTTTGTAATATACACACATATACTTTAGACGTATGTATATCATAATGTCAATAACAATTTTTATGCAAAGTTACATGCTATACAATATCCAGCAAAGTGTTCACTTTTACGTGAAGAGTCTGTTGACGAAACTATCTGCTTGTCTTCACCAAACGGTTTGACAAACTACCTAATAGAAATAAAAAGACGAGCATATGCGACAGTCACGAGATATCGAATCCCTTCGAATAGATTGTGTTTACGAGTCCAAACCTTCATCTCGTTTTACAGGCTTCTGTTTCACGTTTGCATCAGCAGTAACGTAGCTGCGTTTGACATTTCCATTCCGCGCCTTACGAAGGATTCGTTTGAAATGTCGTTTATGCGCGCCGATATCCGGCATCCGGTAGCCGGATTAACGACTGCAACAGGTCGTTAAGTCGTGCGTCATAAAGCGCCAATATTAGATGAAAATCGAATCGCGTGAGGCACCGTCAAATCAGCCGTTTGCTACGCACGACCGATTTATACGAATGTCCATATACTATCCGCGGCAATTGCGAAGAAGTTTATCGTATTATTTTACTTCGCCCTGTATTTATTTCTTTACCAAAAGTATAAATGTCACTCCCCCCTGGTATAATAATTTGTCTTTATGCATTACAATCTGGCGGGATTTTTATTTTTCTCTTCTGTACGCATGTGTTGCTTCGTATACCATTTTATAAAACATAATATTTTTATGGCCATGCATTTTATAAAACGCGCGAAGCGATTGATAAATAATAAAAGCACTATAAGTACGCGAAAAGAGAGAATGCGAAAATATTAAATAAGAATTTATATATGTATCTCATTTTTATATTATATCTCTTTTGTAAGTAATGATATTATCTTTTAATATATATTTATTACAGTTTTAATATTACAAGAAGAAAAATATGTGTCGGAAAAATAAAGTTCGTGTTCTATTTTATATTTCCCTTATAAACCTCTATCTATCAATTGTCATTATATGCTTAAAGCGTCATAATTTAGAATTCGCCGCAGAGTTAGAGAGAGAGAGAGAGAGTCGTGTGAATCCGGCAATGGGAGTCGAAATGAATATCAGCGAAAATACATGTATCTAGACCCGAAGGGCGCAAAACGGCATAAGGACTTTGCCCGAAATCACCTTATTACGCCTCGTTAGATACCTTGTTCCAGATTTCGAAACGTATCTACGTATATACGTATGCATGTACGTAATACTCTAACTGACATTGCTGAGTTCATCGTCGTCGTAGCACATTTTAATGGCCCATTCGCGGTCGCAGCCGTCAGGCGTAAAAAGGACTTGATTTCTATCCGACGAGATATGTACGGAAGTTGAATTTCATTGGAGTAATTACAACGAGACAAGACTGTGCTTTGATAATATCTTATATATATTTTATTTTATATTTTATTTTATATTTCTTTTTTAAATATATATGAAAAATATATACGCACAGATAACGATGCTGCGATTATAGCCACAATTTTGAAATTGTGTTTGTATGAAGCAATGATAGGCATATCACATGCGATTTCTCGATGATGCAGTGCGTGCCGATAGCACGTGTGACACGCATCTCATTGCGGATAGGTCGCGGAGTTCGTAAGAGGCAGAAGAGGCAGTTAAGATACATTTACGGCGAGATATATTGCGCCGTATATCGGCAGCTGTACACACGCTTGCACGCACCGGTATATACGGTACCGTAAATATATAAACGTGTTCGAGGGGGCCAAGGCAGCTCCGCTTTAATGGAGTTTCCGCGACTCGGGATTCTCTCAAGTTCTCTACACGCGTCCTGTGCAACGCGCGCTATCGACGTTGTTAGCGCGGTTAGCGATTCAGTCGGCAGTTAGCGATGATGCACGGCGTGTCCGATGCGAGTACGATGCACTATGGCTGTCGTGATATGCCGTGCGATCGCATATCTGGGAACGACGCGACGCGTTTTCAACGGCGGAATCGCCGTTGCGATTTATCGAAACGGATACTTCGATTGCGCGGCGCAACGCGTCTTGTTAATCGGCAGCGGTAAATTATTATCGATGATTATTAATTTCTGGCGTGCAATCATACGTTTGCTTTGTCGCCAAATTGTCCATCTTTATTATATCACAATAGCAGAAACATCTCAAAAACTGAAAGAAATCATATTATTTAATTCAATATTTCAATAATATTCGAAATATAAAAGCAATTAAAAAAGATTTTTTTTCATTTTATGTGTAATGTACAATTGTATTTTAAATATATTCTGTATTTTTTATTTTTCTTCATAATATCAGTTTCAATTCTGTTATCAATTTATGATGCGAATTATTATTCATTACACAGAAAATTTAGCGCGAATGGGTGACACTACGTTTATATAATCAGAGCAAGATATAATACGAAATCGCCGCGGAAGGATGAATTTAATCAAGAGATTAGAGATTCAGTTTTCCCAAGCGCTGGCTCGGCGTGAATGAGTTATGGCATTCTGCGGCGCTATCGACGCTGTTAGCGCGGTTAACCTGTTGGCTGTTAGCGATGATACACGCCACATTCAATGTATACCTTCGCTTAGTGTCGCAGTCAGCCCGTTTATGCGATACGATGTATGATTGGATCTAGGAACGAGTTTTCTCTAAGAAAAATTATCGACATATGGCCATTTTTCACATATCTAAACAACTTTATCATTGATGCACATATTTCACAAGTAATAGAGTGTTTGATGAAAAATTTAATGAAACATCTTGAATACTATTCAAATAGAGTAATAGCATTAATGTGATATAAGTCATTATAAAAAATATTGAGAAAAATACAAAAAAAAAATTATCTATTCACTGTGTAATATAAAATATATATTAAGTATTCAACATTAAATCATAAATTAAACTCTATTATATAAGAAATATTTTCTTATTAACTTTCTTCTTATTTACTTTGATATTTCAGCGTTGAAAAAAAAATTTAGAGAATACACTGTATACAAAATTTGCTAATATCCGATATTTCGAAGAAATGTGTTTTCTTAAAGCATTTATTTAACAATATTCCTATATTAAATAAAAATCAAAGCAGAAAAATTATGACAAAAAAAGCTTCATTTGACGTTTAATACATACTTTACTGTAATCTCATTCTTGTAAATGTATAGGTCTTAAAATGTTTTATGTTTTTTTTTTATACGATTAATATATCCAATACTTAAATAAATTGTAGATTCTACTAATAAATTAATTTTGTATAACCAGATATTTGTTTATCATATAATTATTGATTTAAAAAATTGATCTTTATTAATTGCTTGAATATTGCTAACTTGTCATTTAATTTTTAACTTTATATTTCATCTTTCACATCAATCGTTTAAAGTAAGAAATATTTATATTTAAATATATTTTCATACACATTTAATGAATAAATAAGCTTTTATCGGATACTAGTGACTCAGCGCTGCAGCAGACAACACTATCACCAGCGCTATCACCAGATTATTTTCCGAGTTCGTTGCGAGGTGGCAGCATCACCTTAGTAGGAGACTGCGACGGTCTACTTCAATCGAAAGATAGTGGGGGAAGCAGTGTGGCGCAGATGCGTGCGTACGATCGAGCGCGTAACATCTCAGAGTTTTCAGTGTCGCACGCAACGCGCACCAGAGTGACGTATATACGGCAGTGTTCTAGAACATTCGATCGAAACCTCGCTTTCGGGCGAGGTATATCGAGAATTTGTCCAGTCGGATACATCAATTCACAAGCGGGTGAGTATATTGATCCATTCATGCTGCGTCGAATGTCGGCCATTTTGAGATAAGCGCTGTTGTCGCACGTGGTATTCGTACAACCCATAGTACTCATCGAATTATGTAGTAGAATGAGTTCCGGAATTGAATGGATAACCGCACACTCTGTATTAGTGTCAAGCAAAGCGACATAAGAAAGTTCTCGTAGAAAATGTTGGGATCTTAATTATATCATGAGATAATAAACTCTTGTAAAGTATTGAACATTAAATTAAAAAATATAATGCCGTATAAGTTTAAGCCCGCGCGATATTTTTCAAATAATTATTTTTTTTTAAAGATGTATATAGTATTGCTAAGTCTGACAAATATTAATAGCATATGTTTAACGCGATATTTAAAATTAATACTCTGATTTTTTACGCATTAGAGACTGTACAATTATATATTTATATAATTATATGTATAAATAATTATATAAGGAAGTACTGTGTTGAGTTGCCTAAAAACATATATTTTATATATTTTTGTTGCAGGAACGTGATTGAAAGCATAATCGACTACTTTTTCGATTATTATCTATTGAAATTAATACACGGTTACTTGTAAATCTCACATTCTTCATAATGCCATTCACGGCAAATGCGGCAGCGAGTCAGATACAGGAGCGTCTGAAGAACATTTATAATCTCGTGCACGATATAGAAACTCAACGCATCCGCTCGGAGCACAACCTGAACAACATCATGAAGACCCACGATAAGGTCACACCTGATGACAAGGTCTCCCCTTACTACCAACAGAAACTGAAGAACTTGTATAATGCCGCGATGACTGACGCTCAACAGGAAGAGGAGATCCTACGCAAGGCCCTCAGTAAGATAAACGAGATACGCACCATACGAAACGAACGACGCATACAGGCGCGTAAGGCCGGCAACAAGGAGACCATCAGACGCGGAGCACTGATGAAGATGTTGTTGAGCACCGCGCAGACTCTACCTCTCTATGTAGGAAAAACGCCAGATGCCAAGGTGCCACCGTTGTGCGGTGCGATACCAGCCGAGCAGACATATATCGCGAAGATGGGTGACATGGTGGCCGCTCTGGTGAAAGGCAACGAGGAAGGGGAGAATTGGATACTGGCCGAAGTCGTGCAATTTATTCCCGCGGCGAACAAGTACGAGGTCGACGATATCGATGAAGAGCAGAAACCACGTCATACATTATCGCGGAGACGAGTGGTGCCGTTGCCGTTGATGAGGGCGAATCCCGAGACCGATCCCCATGCCCTGTTCCCGAAAAATGCCACGGTGATGGCGTTATATCCGCAAACTACTTGCTTTTACAAAGCGATCGTGAAGCAGCTACCGACCACCGCCACGGAAGAATACGAAGTTCTCTTCGAGGATGTCAATTATGCGACTGGCTACTCGCCACCATTCAACGTGGCGCAGCGTTACGTAATTTCCATCAAAGAGAGCAAGAAAAATAAGAGCCAGTGTAAATAAATATTATTATTTTCTTATTTTAATCCTTTAATTAACTTTAGATTTTTTTTTTCTGATAAAAGACAATGCGCGATTGCAAAGATCGTAAGTCTCTTTTTGCAATACATATGTACATATATATATATGTTTAAGTAGTATATGTATTAAACTATTTATGAAGTTCCATTACAGATTCTCTAGGATATAAGAAAGAAATGTTCGCATCTATGTTGATTTATGTGTTAAAACACACTTATAATATTTGACTTTTATAATAAATTAAGTTTTTTCATCATACGTTGCAAAATTCTCAATATTTAATGCCAAGTCTTTTAGCAATCATTTTTATAAAGTTAGCGAATTGTATTTTTTGCAATTTATTCACATTACGTTTTATAATCCATCACAAAATAGAAATATGCTACAACGATAATACAAACATATAAAGTGCACACAATTTATAAAAAAATTTAAGTATAATGAAAAAAGCAAGTTTATTTCACAAATAGCACAATATTTTTTTCCGTGGTAAAATATAATTATCTTGGTGTATGTCATGAAATTTCTATCAAAGTCGCAGTTTGTCATTAAGATTAAATTTAAGCGTGCGTGTGTGTGTTAACTGGGAGAAACAAGCACGTACTGACAGTTAAGGTCCTATTTCCGCGATACTACCCGTCGTCAGAGGTAATTGACGTAGATTATAGGACGATAATAGCGATATCCTTATGTACGCGGGTGGATCTAGACTTTGCTGACCTTTCGCGGAATCGGTTCTCCGTGACTGTCCGAGTAATTTCATCCTATACCGAATAAATCTTTTTCTCTCTGTGTTCGTCACGAAGCGAGACAGAGGTAAAGCGAACGCAAAGGGGAGAGAAAACGCGCGGAATAGAGGGAAGATAAAGAGAGCGAAATATAAAAGCGGCAGCGGACGAAAGCCTGCGAAGCCGCGAGTGCGAGAGCGGATCGAGAAAGATAGCGGATGAAAGAGAGAGCACTGCGCAATAATTGATTCCATAATCGGCGGCTGCTGCCAGACATCAAAGCAACTCGGTACCCCCAGCAGATCGGCCCAGCTAGCTTAATTCTCATTCATTATTTAACTTAACTACCCCTCGCATCGAGTCATAAAAAAAGTACTTTGATTCGGCGCACGTTGCGAACACGGTATTTTTCGCCATTTTCCTCGAAATTAAACCTGAAAATTTTTCATTGATTTCTGGTTGCCGTTCGGATGGAGCTCACTCGTTGAATAACGTATCGGAGGGGTTTTTAATTGAAACGCGAAGCTGGATCTGTCGCGCGAACAAGGTATTGTATGTAATAATTAAGGAAGAGAGATGTATTTTTTTTCTTTGAATAGCTTTTTTGAAGCGTGTTTGTTGCAAAAGAAAGTATAGATATACTGTATAGATATACTTGTATAGATATACTATATTTTTATGTAAAAAATAATATGTATAATACGTAAGATAAAAAAATGTACGTATATGTATTTTTTTCTTTTAATTTTAAATAAGATAAAATAGAGTCACTATTCAGTAATAATAGGATAAAATAGTCACTATTCAACAATATCTCAAAGCAACTTTTATCTCTTTAACACTACTCTCGTAATAATAGAAATTATCTAGCCTGTGTAATGGCTTTTATATGCTTTCTCGTGAAAGTTGTAACGACCGATTTTATCTGGTCTATGGTAGTTTCCCTAACCATATCAGAATTCACCTCGAACCCCAAGGGTCGGTCGGATCACATGAATTTAGCAAAACGCACGACCTCGTACCCGGAACCTTTTATCCACTCGTATTCGCGCTAAACCACAATCGAAATCGCGTTTGCAAGTACGCCGCGCTGTCTAGGATTTCCGGCAACCATTAGTCGCACTCGATTGTCCGATATCTTTCTACTTTCAGATAGTAACCGTCGGTGTGTCGGCACACAGAAGCCATTCTCAGTTCTGGAATTAATTCAACCGGCGATTAGCTTCCGCGTTGAGGGGTGAATTCTGTCCGAAACGGCTTTTGTGTGTTTGATCGTGTGTGTGCTCAACGTGCGGTCGTGTGCTGCTGACTGAACTATGTCCAAACCGCGGGCGGGCGTGCGTTCGTACGGCGAGTCTAATACAAGTGGACTCGTAGCATGCGAGCAACCGGAAACCAAGGCGAACTTGCGGCCGAACACGCAAGCTGTACTTGGTTTTCCACCCTTGGTCCCCGCGAGAATAACTTCTCCCCGTGATTCTCCTCTGGCCACCTCCTACGATTCGTTTCCTACCGACCGTTTCAAGGTTCTCTTCGTTCATTCGTTCCACGTTTCAGTTATCTGAGTAATACTTCTCCTCCGGCTTTACCTTGCCCTGCTTCCTTTTCTCTGTCTATCTACCTTCCTTTTCTCCTTATCTTCCTTCCTCCCTGCTATATTCTACTGCTGACCTCCTTCTTCCGTATCGCGTCGTCCTTCTCTTTTTCTCATCTCCGTATAACCCGATCGCGGCAGGTTCACTTAACCCTCCGGTAATGGCGCGCTGTATTTTTCTTCGACGCTCGTAATTACGGCCGTGTGCTCTCGCGAGCATATTTTATTTCGTTCCAGATCAATCGATTCCGACGCTGGTATCTGTCACTGCCTTTTCTCTCTCTCTCTCTCTTTTTCTTTATATCTCGCCGGAGGCTTCATCCAACGAAACACGTTATTCTCCGACAACCATTAGTCTTTCTTTCGATAAATTGGCAGACCAGAGTGATTGCAAGATGTCACCCTCACCTGTCCGTAACACACATTTGTTTGTAACTCGAATGCCATGCGAGTTTCCCTCGTTCGCGTTTGATTGGAGCCATTTCGATAATGATTTGGTAAGATTGCGCATGTTGCTTCTCACGTCTGTCGACAGTTAATTTGAAGGCGATATATTTGTAGCCATTTCTAGAACGCGCACTCGACTTAGCTATCCATTCGGAATATTCTATCGATCAGATTTACAACGTTTTTCGCAGCGAGATATAATTCAACGCTCTCGACTATAAAATAGATATGAAAAGATAAACCGTGGCTGGCCCATTGAGACTTCACTAGGTTCATTTAAGTAGTACTCCGGGGCTCATTGAATTATTGATACCGAGGAGTAAATTGAAAATCGATAAGCGATCCAGTGCAATTTATAACTTCGCGGCCGTTTCTGAAGGAAGGAGAAAAAAAAGAGGGAGAAAGAGCGAGCGAGAATGTGAACGAAACTTGCACGGTGGGGTATTACAGATCGTATGTTGAACGAGGAGGGGCCTCCTGGATTTTCATTTTTTAATTAATACGCCATGCGCAATGGTATCCAAGAGAAGGGATCGATAAGGTCGGCTAACGAGCTGCCAACCTCTAATCCAACTTTACCTCGAAAACTGTCGGAACTCTTATACGATGTGGTAATGAGTTCTGGCTGTTGAACGAAAGAAAAGTCACGATGTTAATAGCTTCTGCCTTTGAATCTCTCTCTCTCTCTCTCTCTCTTTCC